AGCGCGTCCACTCCATGCATGCATATAAAGAGTACTCCCTAAGGGTCATGGAGTACCCCAAATTAGCCACAACTCATGAAAATTGTGCTCCAATTAACATTGCGATGTCCTAGGGCAGGACTATATACTCCAGCTCTGCATTACATCAGAGTAGCACAAAACTACTCCAACATATTAACAATGGCATTCTTGATATATTTTTTCGTTTGTACACGCTTTTATTCTTCACTTCACAGATGGTTTTTCGCAATTAATAAAAACCAAAAATAAAAATAAAAATAAAAAATTACATGTTGCCTCTGACGGCACTCGGATTCGTGCGTGCCAAATGAACTTTTCTCTCAAAGTTTACACAGCCGGCAAATGTAAATAAGGATTAAAATTTAATAACTAATTAATACAACTAAAGTAAAATCTGTGGAAAATTAACAATAAAATAATTTTTTTGCAAAATCTATAAAGGACCGTTTTATTTCTCAAAAAAACCTGGGTAACAGTTATTCGTTGCCACGCTGTATGTTCCTAAACATTTCTTGATTAGCGCCATATAATTTTTTTACTTTTGTACATCTATTTTTACACATTCCTGTATGTATGTAAATTTCTAGAGTCGTTTTTGTGCTCCCGCTATCACCTTGTATGAATTCGTCTTTCGTTGATATACTCTGATGAACCTATGTGAGGATGATAGCAAGGCGAACTCATATAAGGTAGTGTTAGAGGAGCAGTTGAAATTTTCGCCCCGGTGTATCTTAAAGAAGGCCATAAACGTAGCAACCCTTGGTTCAACTTGGTGATATTTTGCTCTAGATTGCACCGTTTGTGTGCCTGTTTAATGAACGTGTGTTTTGGTTGTATGAAAGTTAAAAAAATTTTGATTTTCTGGCAAGTTGTATAACTCGTCGCTACATTAGCGACCATGTTGTACAAACTCATTCTATTTTGCGTTTATTTTGATCACAAAATAACCCAAAATGGATAACTCAGATGGAATATGTACGTGCTTTCGTTAAATTTTATAAATGTAAGCCGAAACTATGACATTGTAAAACTGAGATTTTACAATGAGACTGCTCACAAAATTGCAATATTTGTGGGCAAAACGTCCAACTTGATTGCGAATAGATCTGAGCCAATGGTCGCAACGTTTAAAGCTTACATTATGTAAAAATTATGTGTTTGTTGTAATTCATTCTGTCATTTACTACCATTATGCGCAGGCCAATTCATGAAATCATTTTATGCTTTTGAGTAGAAACTGAGTGCATGAACACCATTTCATGATCTGAATTATGTGTACGCGAAATGGAGTTTATGCACTGAGTTTTACTCAGATCCATGAAATGATTTCGTGAATCGGACTACGCATAAACGTGTTAATTGTGCGTATAATTTATATGGTAATTTTATGTTTTTATACTCTTGCTACCACATGAATATGTGAATTCGTGATAAGAATATATGAATTCACCTTAGAAGATAGAAAGTGCGTAAGAAGAAGTGCCGAATAAAAGAATTTGTCTTCTTTCAACTTAAATAAATGCATTTTGCAAACAAAACTGCGTACGCTACATGGGCATGGGCCCCTAACTTTCAAATTTTCCTTATATATATATAAAATAGTACCCTGAAATGCCAGCTTAATGGGGTCGAGCCTCCCCCCTCCCTAAATTTCATTCTGGCTACGCCGATGGTACGTTATTTAGTGCCTTGGTTAAATTGCGCGGGGAGAATCGTTATAAATCGCGGCGAATTTGTAAGGATCTACTGATTGCATTATAATCATTTGCATTTAGTTGTTAAACATACAATAGATAATTATGTGACAGTTCACTCCGTTCAGTTACTTCCATTACAACCTGGTCCTAAGGATGCTAGAAGGGCAAATTCATACAAGGTGGTGTTACCGGAAAATAAATAAATAAATTATATATCACAAAATGAAATGAAATCATTGTTTAATTCTTAACCAAACCAATGTATGTAACTCAATCGCCTAATGGTTTGCCGAGCCGTAAACATATCTTTACACGTAAAATTTCGTGAGTACCTGGTACTCACACCTTTTTTGAGAAGTTTTACTTCTGCTGCGTACGCCTTTTTTTCGTTACTTTTTTTGTTTAAGGTTCTTTAATTTTTTATAAATGTATAGCTCATTGTATAACAAAGACCATATAAATATATATTTCAAACTGTGCGAAAATTTGAAAAATTCAAGAATGTATAAGATTTTCAAACTTTTATAATCAGAATTTTTAGAGTAACTTTTTATTTTAGTATAATAAAGTGCCAGATTGAAGCTGGCTTTTTTTTTGCTGACAGTGTTACGTATTTTCTTGCATTCGAAGTATGTTCGAAACGTTTTTTATAAAACTTGTAAAACTTACCAATAGCTGATGCTCTGAATTCACAGTCTGAAATAGTAATGTACAATACTCCTGCTGGAGTTGTAAAACTATCGATAATATATATCACTATCATGGGCATAGCCAGGTAGGGGCAGGGGGGTGCTCGAGGCCCCCCCTAACTTTCAAATTTTCCTTATATATATATAAAATAGTACCCTGAAATGCCAGCTTAATAGGGTCGAGCCCCCTATCCGCTTGACGTTTCGTGTCGATATAAAACTGTAGGGCCCTTTAATTCTACATTAACATCAATGCACACGCCACAAACTGGATAAGTTCTTAACAAAAATACGCGCACAAACTATGTGCATACACATGATTCAATAATAGAAAGGTTTTGTAATAAAACAGTCTTCTCGCTTCCACACATAAAATCGGCTCCTTTACTTGTGCAGAATGTTGCTTACTCTACAGTTTCTAGTGATATTAGTAGTAAAAATTCTTCATACTAAATATTCGTTAGCTTCACCTTCGTTTGCGTACAATGGTAGAATAGCGACCGTTTAGCTATAAAATAACAAAAATGCCGATTGATAGAACTTTTTACGCTGATTTCAACGTTACCAAATTTATTTGGCCCAGGTTTGTTTATATGTTTGGCTTTGTTTATATGTTTTTTTTTTTATCACTAAATTGTTGAAACCCAAAAGTAGCTCATGACAAAATATGTAATATTGAATTAAAGGTAATAATTGTACTTTCTAAATAACATAAATTTCTTTACCATTAATTATGCAGTTTTTTGAAAAAAGGCTATTTCGTGAAAAAATAACATTTGTTAGTTTTTTAGTGGTTTTGGTTTAAAAATACAAAAAGCTATAAATAATGTACATCAGCTGAAAGACAAATTAATTATCTTCATGGTGACGTCATTAATTTTTTAATCGGTTATATAGTTCATAAGATATTAATATTTAAAAAATCTAAAAACTGAACTTTAACCTTCTAGAACGTCTTCATTTTTCACTTGCGCCAAATAAGGGCATGGTTGAAATGAGCATAAAAAGTGCTATTGATCTGCATTTTTCGTTTTTGCATAGCTGAACGGTCGGTATTCTAGATTTCTTCCAGGAAATGACGAATAACTGAAATCAAAAATGCATATTTTTATGTATTGTTTAGTATTTCCATTAAAACACCAAATATATTGCAAATTCACATAGAATTAATAATACAGATTTTACTTCTAATTGTATACTTTGCGTACTTTTTGTAGTACCTTTCTACTACCGTTTTCGCAAAAGGCGATCACATTCTTCCTCTTTCTCCTACTTCCAAAATACAAATCTAGATAAAGGAATGTCAAATTTTAGCTGTCACAAATTACATAACCTTGTATTATTGAATCATGGTATATAAATAAGAACATATGTATTTTTTTAATAACGGGTGGAGGGCGTTTTTGCATACTCGACTCAATTTAATTTTTTGGAAGATGTCGTCATTGTACTGTACATTCCTTCTCGTTCTTTAACACGGTAGCATGGCCTGTTTAACGTATGTATCTTTGTACATTGGGGGAAAAGAATAGTAACATCAAACAAAAACCTATTTGATCTAACTAAAAACGTCAATAGAATACTGTATAGTGGAAAATATTATATTCAAATAAGTACATATTAAAATTAAGCAGTTTGCACTTCTTCTTTCATAATTAAGATAAAAACAAAAACAAGAAAACAAATATTTAATTTGGATGTGGCCTGCAATGGAATTCGAACCCTGACCCCCTGGAAATCAACAAACTGTGGCAAGCATCGCTGCGCACTCAACTATAGCCCGGCACTTCATTTTAATACGGCGTATTTGAATTGAATATTTCTATTATTCGTACACTACTTTTAAACAGTTTTCATTCGATTTTACTATTTTCCCCCCTCAGTTTATACTCAAATACGTGTGTGGTAAATTTTGGTATGAAAGTATTATCTTTAAATACGAACACTTTTAAACGATAATCAAATAAAAGATATTCGTTTTTACTATGCGTTATTTCCCTCAGTGTACATACTTAAGTATGTTAACATTTCTCATTGATTGATTTCGGTTAATTTTAAAACTTTTATAATTAGTAACACAGTGATACAAAATGGTGGTTCATGTCTACATATTTAATGCAACCTAAAGTAAATGAAAGTTTACCCTTCCAATAACAAACTCTCAAAGGATTTTTAGCCTATACTTAAAGTTTTGTATTTTTTTAAATACCCTCTATACAGGAAAAAGTTAGTAAAACTCAATCAATTATCAATTACGTTTTCCTATAATTCTTTTGGAAAGTTATGATATCTTATTATTTTGGAGTCGAGGAATTTATTTATGATGTTTACTTTTAGCTAAAACTTAGCTACCGCCGTCGTACAATTTTTTAGATTTTTTTTTATGGTTTTTCACAACATAATTTTATTTCACTGTTTTAAGGCTGGACGGTGAAAAAAGTTCATTTCATTGTTTTTGTTAGAGAAAATAGCATTATCAGGGAGAAATTTTGTATATCTTATATTTTTTATATCTTAAATCTTATTATGTGTTTGTGTATATGTATATACATACATATATATTTTATATATTCTTAAAGGGTTAAAAGCTAAATAAAAAACCTCTCTTGTATTGAAAAATATTATTTTGGTTAATAAAAATTTAATTTTCCCCAAAGAAACATTATTTTTTCTCCAAAAAAATAAGCAACCAACTATAAATACTTTAAAGGATCTTAGTATATCCTAAAAATCCTTTCTATGTGGGGGTGTATATTCTCATTTACTCTTGCTTTCATCAAATACGTAGAATCTTGTCGCACTGTGTAATTACACCAAAGCTATGTTTTTGCATACATATTGAGTATATATTATTAAAGCAGGGATAAAATTTAAATTTTTATACTATGAACATTTACTTTGACAATGTCTTAAATTTTTATGATAAACAATATTAAATAATGTATTTGTTCTTATTCATATTTGTATTTAAAGACTAGAAAACTCATATCTGTTGTTAAACTCCAAATGGCTGCCTGTAGATTGCGGTGGTAAGTCGTCGTATGTAAAAGCAAGAAGAGCTCCATTGGTATCATAAAACGTATAGTTAGAAGAATTAAGAGTATCCGTTTGAGATAGTTGATTAGAATTAGCGCTTGAAAGTGCGAATATATTTGCACTACTAGTATCTAACACCGCACTGTTGGCACTAATATTATGTCCTATTTGTGGTGAATGGGGTGATGTCAGAATACTACAATCGCTGTCGACACTAGCACAGGGGATTGATATTGCATACATATCATCACCGGCTATAAATCCCGTGTTCCCAACATTTCCACAAATGCGGTTACTATTATGAATTTCAATATTCATTGTCACGGTTTGTTGTTGTATCGCAGAATCTTGATTTTCGGATATACACTCATCTGTGCAATATAATGACTGATTTATAATGTCACAATTGGTATCATCAGTTGAGGAGTTAATAATACTTGAGTGATTATGGCTATCCCGAGAAGATATTAGTGAATCAAAAACAGGTAATTTAGCTGTTTCGTATGGATACTGTATGTGATGCAAATGGTGACTGGCAAGATGTAAATTAGCATCATTTACAATGCTGTTTTCCTCTTCTATTTTAGCTTTTTCAAAATATGAGATCTGAGAAACATTGTTGACATTTGATTGTTCAGGGGTCTGTGTATTGTCATGAGAAAAATCATTTTTGGTATTTTGAAACTCAAATGGAGTTTCAAAAAAGTTGTCAGGATTTATTATTTTTAACACATCTTCAATTTGATATTGAGAGTTATTTTTGAGTTCATGATAGTCGGACGGTTCAATGGGATTTAAGTTAGTTAAATTATCTACAATCCCTGAGTTGATATCACAGATAATTGGATCACTGCAAAAGCTCCTATAATTTGATGTACCCGATAGATAATGGGCACGTTCTCCTACCATGCATATTTTCGCAGAGTCGTAAGAAGTGGTCGTATTTCTTGTTCCATTATGCTTCTTTGTATTGCTAGAGCTTTTCTTCCAGCACCGATTTCGGCGATTAATTCCATCTTGATTGTTCGGTATTAGACTTTGTTTACATTTTCGTTCCATGGAAGATAGCATTCTTTTCTTTCTGATATCATGATTTTGCCCTTTGCGCTCTTCTTTTTCATTATGTCTAGAGGAGGGTTGTCGCGACTGCTTTTTCTGGGGCCTATATTTATAGTCGGGATATTCTATCATGTGTAGTTTACGTAAGTTTTCTGCTTCAATTATGTAAGGTTGTTTTTCTTCCTTGCCTAGAAGTTGCCAACGCCGGCCCAGTTCTTTCGATATTTCTGCATTGTGCAGATCAGGTGTCTTTTCACAAATCTTTCTTCTTTCCATTTGACTCCAAACCATAAATGCATTCATTGGTCTTTTTATATGGCCAGGATAATGTTTTTTAGTCTGTAATTAAAAAAAGTTTGTTTTAAGATTGCATTTGAAAAATTATAGGTACTAACATTTGCTAATGTAAAGGTAAATTTGTTTAAAATTTATTGGTTGGTTTTGACATTTAATTGCAAATATATAAAATAAATAGAGTTTAATGAAGTTTCATCTATTTATGTACTTATATTAACACTTATATTAAGAGATTTCGAAGAAAATTCTCAGGACATTTGAATCCCTTTGCTTAAAGCCCGTTGTGGAAGTTTGGAAGGCTAACCTGTTTTAGAAAGCACTATAAACAATTTATCGATTGTACAAGGAATCAATGAAAAGAAATAGAGAAACGAAAAACATATTGATTTATTTATGATTTTTTCCACAATAAATTAGTTCTCCAATCAGAATACAGAGGGGGTTTTGAGGGTCTTATCCCCCTCCTTCCCCTCCCAAAAATATCCGAAACCTGTGAAAATTCAGTACATATGGATGAAGATGTCTATAGTGACTTAGATCTATTGCAAGGCCAATGTGAAAAATTACACTGTACAACAGAAAAAAATTCCCCGGGGTTTCTCAACGGTTTTTAAAACTTTTGGGTCCGCTGAATCCGAATCTGAAGTCAGAATTTTCGGGTCGCTCTAGGTTTTCTGTAGAGTGCGAGGTTTATCCAGAAACCGGCATTTGTAGAAAAAAAATTGTATTCTTTTTAAAATCATTGAACAAGTGTAACTAAAGGTTTTTGGGGTCATGATAATATAATATTTATTTTTAGATTTGACCGCATACAGATGTCACTGTAGTACAAAAATTTATGGTTTAGTTAATTTTTAAATCATTTATCAAATTTTAATCAATATAAATTTATTGGAACGCAAAAAATATATATACAACCTACAATCAGCCGAGGTATAAGTATTAGCTATTTTGGTGAATATCACTTCGACATCATCAGACTTTTTCCCGAGACAAGGATTCCAACTCCCCCTTTTGTCTATAAGCGCAGTTGTGATAGGGATGCAAACGATGCATCGATGTTTTTGAAACATCGATAATATCGGTTCAATTTTCGATGTTTGCCATTGATGTTTACAATTTATTAACGTCGCGAAATTGACGATACATCGATGGAAGTTTTACCGATGTTTTAAACATCGACCTTAAGGAGACTCTCCGACTTTCTTTCGATATGTTTGACTGACCTTAAATTTATTATACATTCAGAATTGTTTTGTTATTTATGGCCTTATAACAATTATATTCAACAATTTTATTGAGCTTGAAAAATGTTATTGAAAATCAACAATAATTTACAAAAGGTAGAAGTTATAGCTGCTATTTCGGAGACCACCACATCTCTTCAGTGACCGCGGTTGAAGAAGTCTGATTAGTTGATGTGGTGATCTCCCAAATAGCAGCTATACCTTCTTAACTTTGTAAATTATTGTTGCTTTTCCACAACATTTTTCATAAAAAACAAGCTCAATAAAATTGTTGGATTCATTCTGAATGCTAATAACCTTGCCGTTAAAACAGAACCAAACACCCCTTGGAATTTTAACAAGATCAGGCCTAGGATCTTTAGGCCCGAACGACCTTACGACGGTATGCATTTTGAATCTAATAATAGAAAGGGTATAGAAAGGTTAATAAAATACAGGAAAATATATTCATAATTATTAAAGTATTCAATATTGCTTTAAACTTAACTAGAAATTAACAATTTGCAAAACATCGGAAACCCTCGATATATTAATGTTTCTCTGGCAATGTATTTTAGCCTCGATGTTCTTTTCTCCGATGCATCGAAACATCGATGTATCGATGTTACAGCTCAAAATTTGCATCCCTAGCTCTCGATGCCTTCGATGATATGAGCTCTTATTCAAACGGGGTCATTGATGTTCCTACTGTGCTCTTTTTAATTCGTGAGACTTCTTCTTGATATACCGATGACCCGTTGATGTGTCTAAGACATCTGTGTCGCTTAAACAATTCTGCGCTTCCTTGTATTCATACTTAAAGAATGGGGCTTTATTAGGTAATCTCAAAAGTAAATTTGTAGAGGGGTATCTAAATATCTTGATTCCAGCGCCACCTATGTTTTGGGTACGTTTGGGACACACTTCTTATCAAAAAGTAATACCCATTAATCCAGGTCGTGCGATAAAGACGGATTCTCTAAATATATCGACTCCAGCGCCACCTGTCGTCCGGGGTAAACAGATAAAAATATAAAAAAGAAAGATTTTCAGTTTACCATAAATTAAAGGAGACATAGACTATATTTCTTATTTAGTTTAAGGCCTCCTTATGAAAAATACTTTAATTTTTTTCCGGTGTAGAAACATAAATACTATTCAGACATCCCACTCGTGAGCATTCGACATGTCAAAGAAAAGTCTCAGAGTATACTGAAGACTTTTAAATTAAAATTGAAGGTATGTGGGAATAAATAGGACTCCTTACATAAACACATCTTCTGCTTTGTGGCATCCAGTAAGAATTCTTGCTGCAATTAAATTGGTCATTATTTTCTTTACTAAAAAGCTTGTTTTAGTATTAAGATTAGGTGGATTAAGGTACCTAAAGAAGAATAAAATGCGCGATACTTTTTAAATTGATATTCTCTTAACGTAGACGGCATGCTTGGTGGGAGGTGCTACGACATCTTTCAAACTCGTATCCCTGTTTAGTTTACAACAGGTCATTTCGTTTAGGTGTATGTTTGTAATGGGTCCAAGGTTATGATTCTCTGAACGAACTACATCTATTGGAGGTACCACGCCCCTGGCAAACACTCACTCTCTTTCAGTTTACTATAAATGCCCCGAACTCTTGTACAAACTCATTTGTATACATTTACCATAGATCTTCTCATCAAATTTTAAAGTCATGTGAGTTAGGAGTCCGAAAATATAGCAAATGTGAGATTTCAGGGCTATGGAATATGTCGTGGCCCTTATACAAACTCACTAATGTTTACCTCGCTATAAGCGCCTACTTTAATTATGTCTTCACAATAATTTCGAAGTCATGTGACTTATCGTTCCTAAGTTATAGCTGATTAAAATTTTACACCTGTAAGATGTTCCACGCCTCCTTTAACAAACTTATTTATATATGTCGATACTTTAGTTTAAACATCTATCATAGATCTGTCTTCACATCAAATTTCTAAGTCATGTGACTTACGGTTCCGAAGCTATTGCTGATTAAAAGTTTCACGCCTATGGAATTTGCCATGCCCCTTGTACAAACTCACTCATATATACCTTACTGTAAGCGCCTACCATGGATATCTTTTCATTAGAAATTTCATTTCATTTGACGTATAATACCGAAGTTATGTGCCACGTCCCCTTTACAAAAGTATATCTACTTTACAATAAGCAGCTATCATAGATATGTATGTCAACACACTAAGTTTCAAAACCAAATTTCAGGTTAAGATTCCTTGACCCCAAAAACCTTAAGTTCCACTTGTTTAATGATTTTAAAAAGAATAAACCACGTACTCTGCAGAAAACCTTGCGTGAGACCTGAAATTCGAGATATAAAACAGTTGTCCTTAAGAAATTTACATCCAAACTTAACGATTTACTCTTCGAGCTACTTTCGAACATACATATCGAGGGCCTCTATCTGGAATTTTCACAAAACCTACTTTGTGATGTTAGAATCCATCTGTGACCTGTTATCACTTATGCTAATTCTGACTTTGCAGTTTAATAGTAAATTTTTCTGTAGAGCATTATACAGGGTCAGCATTAATATCACCGATGACAGTTGAGTCTTAGGCGGATTTTTATCTCATTTTTGTAAAAAGTACAGATAGAGGGTATTGAATATAAGGCCTCGATATGTGACAAAAATCGAAAAGTGCACCAGGAAAATATTTTATGTCAGCATTTTGTTCAAACTGTTATATGTTGTTGCTATGGTTACTGGTTTTTATACGGCTTTAAACATGTAAATTTCAGCCCTTTTTCTTAGCACTCTACCGCATACGAAGCCAAATATGGTGTCTCTTCTTTGGCAATTTTTTCCAACCTAACCAGTGTTATAAAAATTTATCAAACTAATTAAATACATTGAGAAGTTCACTACGAATAAAGGAACATAATTGGTTTGCCTATGATTAGATAGCATTTGATTACATCCTCACAAACTCACTCAACTGCAAAAAAGGCAAACGCAAAAGACAGACGCATGTTGTTCTTGTAAAATAAAACATATATTCTTAATTCACACATCCACTTCTGCGTCAATCAATAACACTGTGAAACACGTCTAGGAATCGAGATATATCGATTTGAAGTTAGTAACTATCATATAGGGGAAATTGTCACCTTTGGTGGTCTTTTTTTGACATAACTCGAGAACCACTAGTCCGATTTTGCTCAAACAAATTAAAAAAAAATTAAAAATTACAATTCCTTTAATCTGTTCATATAAAGTTTTTCTATATAATCAACAGTTTTGCCGGTAAAAATAAATGTATGAAGAAAAAAAATATTTTTTGCCTAAAATATTAAATTTTTCTATTTTTTAAATTCATAAAATTTTATAAATAAATAAATAAATAATAAATAAAGCGAAACGCCGGGCCACGTATAATTGTGTTTGACCGATATAACATTTCCCGTTGGTTTCATCCCATCGCGATTTTGACTGTCGCATAGTGTAATTATTTTACCGCCGCCCAACACTTTTCTATTTTTTTCATACAATTTCCCATATATATGGGAAATAAATTTAAAAAAAACTTGGAGTTGTTTTTTCTTTCGATTAAGGCTTATTAATACGTAAATAACTTGTTTTTACCAATTAAAATTTTTATATTCAGAGAGTTAAAGGACAAGATTTCTTAAAATACCAAAAATTTTACCAGTTCTTGTCATCGTTATTCTAGGTCAGAGGAGGGCATTTTTTGATTTTCCAAACACATGTAATTGGGCTTCGAAATGCTGCTTGCTGCGACGTCGACACATGTATACTATCAGTGTTGCCTCGCC